ATGTTATATTCAATTTTTTTAAGAATTCAGTTCTGATTTATATTTCAGTTTTCAACTTGTCGTCTCGGCAATGGCAATCAGAAGTGAACCATTTTCACAGAGCTATTTGAAATACATTCAATACCTGCTGAAACAATATGCGCGGATTCTTTGAATTTTGTCATTTTTCCGTGAGATTCATTGTTGACAATTTTTGTTTTCCTACATTTTACTATTATCTCTCTTCAATTCACAATAGTCACCTACAAACATTGTTTCAATCTTCGTTTTTCCAAGCATACTCTCGGGTTTAATTTGTATCAGAAAAAATCTGGGCTGTATCGGTCTTGGTGTAATCAAATGGGGCAAGTCACTTGAACACCTCCTGTGAAAATATCTATGGAAGAAAGACAAATACCCAATATTTTTTCGATGTTCCAGAATATCAAGGTTGCAAGTGATGTTCGCGTCTCCAATCAGGCGGATGGCACTTTTCTGGATGGATTCCAGTTTGGGAGCAGAGCTCCATATATGATAACAATACTCCAAAGAAGGTCTGATCCGAGCTTTATAAAGCATCAAAAACTGAGGTGTGAAACTTTTTTTGGATCGGAACAGTGTTCCAAGCTTTTGAGAAGCAGCCTTTGCAATTCCAGCGACATGATTGGGCCATTTCAACCTCCAACAAAGTTATTGAAGCAGAAAGCGGAATTGTTTCTCCTGACATTATTATATCCGGTTCGGAGACATTTATCTTTTTGAAGAAAACCGATGCCTGGATTTTTTGGCATTGAATTGAACCTGGTTAGTTTCACCCCAATTCGAAATCATTTCTAGATCCCCATTAAGATATGCAACCTCCTGCTACCGCTGAAGATGAGCATCCGCAGCCGATGCACATAGAATGACAGAGATAAGTGTGCTGTCGTCAGCAGAGCAATTGATTGGATTCTTCGTTTTTTTCAATAAGTCGTTGATATATAATAAAAAGAGGGTTGGAGACAATACGGATCCCTGGGAAACAACAGCGTTGATGGTAAAAGGAGTCGAGAGATATCCATCTACAGCCACTTACGGGGAACGTTCTTACAGGGATCTGGAGAGCCATACACAGAAATGATTCTACAAGCAATAGCATCAAAGTTTGGCCAGCAAACCTTCATACCACACATGGTCAAAGGCTTCAAAATATCAAGCTCAACAGCTCTTGATTCTCCACGTTTTTCGATTGCGTTATGGGTGACAAATATAGGTGACATACGATAGATGGTGGCCTGTTGATTTTTCTTTCCGAAAACCATATTGACGATCGCTCAAGATGATATAGCCTTCCAAATATTGAGGGATGTAGTAGTTTACGGATTTTTCATGATTTTTGATATTACCGATAGCAAAGCGACTGGTCTACAGTTATTTGGAAGATTTTTCTTGTCCTTTTTGGGAATAGGCTGAACGCGAGCAATCTTCCAACAAGAAGAAAAAACCCCTTCCTTGTAAGACAGGTTGAAAAGTCTGCAAAATACTGGTGCAAGTTCATTTGCGCACTTTCAAGTACGATGACGGACACTTCATCACGACCAGACGCTTTGTTGATATTGAACAGTTTCAAAATTCGCCTAAATAGACGTTGTCAAATAATTTCTGACATTGTGGATTCCAGTGTAGGAATAGTGGATGGTGCCTTTCCCAAAAAATTGACTGTGAAGTGGGACGCAAATTGTTCAGCTAATAGATTTGCTTTTCTATGGCTGATGTTGCAATTGAACCATCCGCGTGTGTTAGTGGTGGAATTGTGGATTCTGTGAAGTTTCGATTAACAGCTTTTACTACCGACCAGAAGGATCAGGAGTATTTGAAGTATAATGAAGATACTTCAGCAGATTCTTTAATGATTCACCACCTTAAGATTGTGGAAGGTTGAATTTTCATAAAACAGTAGAAAACAACGGATCTTCGGTAAAAAATGTCTTTCAAAAAATATATGAGTACAATCATTTGCTGTCAAATTGGAAAAAAAAAATTATAAAATTCTATAATGATCTTAGAATCCAGATATGTTCGCAATGATTTCATGAGTGATATCTGCTCATGTTACAAGGTCCTTACGAAATCCGAATAGAGGTCTCATGTCCAATCGAGCTTGTGAATCGAATACCGAATAAATAGCGGCTCGTTTCCAAGCCATCGATGAAATGGGATAATTGAGTCAAGCGAGTTAACTGTTGGCAGACACTGGATACTCCTGTATCTGAATTATCTCTTATCTTCGATCTAATAGCGTTCATTCGCTAATTAGGGATCCGTAATGGAGTTATAATCTCAGTATAGTTATTGCTTTGATTAATGCGATTATGCTTAGTTTTGGGTGGAGTGCGTGCGGACTGAGCTGTTTTCATGAGAATTTTTTCAACTCATTAGAGTGAAAATTTGAATGTATGTAATAACTTATTCTCAACGTCGTACGTAATATGATAGTCTAGATCTGAATAGATGACGGTCTAAAATATCCGCGACGTCTCCAGCTTATTCCCGCTTCTTATTCGATCGACCGTTGTGATGACTGCAAAATGTCAATGGTGCTACATCATTCACAGATTGTATAACAAGAATCACTACTAGGGAAATTCACAAAAAATATTTCAGTGATGATCAAACCAAAAAATTTTTTGTCGGAAGGAAATGTGAGTTTCGAGTTTCAGTATCTGAATTGTTCAAAGGGGTAAGAAAGTTACACGCCACACAGCATAAAAAAATAAACCGTATGATATTTGATCAACTGTGTAACCAAATCGAATAAAATTATGTTCTTCGAATCCCAGTAATGTGAGTTTCGTGTCAAGGTTTTAGAACTTCGAAAATACATAAAATGCACGAAATATGAACGAAAGTAGGCTCTCTCACTTATCTCGGACAACTCAATATTGAAAATCTAACAGATTTACATGAAATTGAACTTTCGTATCAAGTTTTGCTATGAATATGGTCAATAATAACATACATCTAACTGCAGTCTCTTTTATCTGTAAAAAGTTGACTTTTTTCGAATCAGTAATGGCATTCATCTGAATTTCTCAAAAAGTGTTTTGAAAAAGTTGTTCCTTTTGAAATTTCATGATCATATTCAATGCTATTTTAGACAGATACTTTCATTTGGAAACAAAAGTTCCAGATAATTAAAATTTACGTCTTTCTTAATAACATGTCACGCTACTTAGTTGTTATGTTATTATTCATCATTTGGAACGTCAATTCGTTTAAAAATTAAATTACAGTGAAAAAACTTGAACAAAAGTTACAACTTTTCACAAGAAAAGTAATTTATTTTCATTTACCTAATGAATACAACTGAAAAGTGTAGGATTTTTCACTGAATCTAGAGAAATGAACTTTAAATTTTCAAGCCAGTCTCGGATATGCCTACCCAATAGGTTGAATCAGAAAACAACTACTCCCCTGGCTAATACCACGAAGGGCGTTGGATTATATCCGACAGGCGTCAGTGCAGGAATCTTCACAGAAAATTTCCTGCATATGCAATTGGCAATACAACTGAAAGAGTCGACCTTCAATTTTGGAACGGGCACACTTGCAGACCAGATTCGGGCTCATTAGCCACTCATCAGTGCAAGATAGTGGCCATCATCGACCTAACGTCAATGATCTTCCATAATTGAAAATCGGAATTCCTTCAGATATAATCCAACGCCCTTCGTGGTATTAGCTAGGAGAGTAGTTGTTTTCTGATAGGCGTCAGTCCATTCAACCTACTGTGTTGGTATATCCGGGACTGAAGCATAGCGCACTGACTAATAAGAAAGTTTTTCTTTCTTATTCAGAGGAATCGGGCAAATTTCGGATATTCAGCTGGTTAGTACCTCGTCCACTAGATGGAGTGACATTTTATTGTTCGCTCCAACTTAGGAAGAGGATTGAAATACTCTGAAAGAATTCCGATTTTAAATTATGAAAGATCATTGACTTTAGGTCGATGATGGCCACTATCTTGCACTGATGAGTGGCTAATGAACCCAAAACCGGTCTGCAAGTGTACCCGTTCCAAAATTGAAGGTCGACTCTTTCAGTTATATTGCCAATTACATATGCAGGAACTTTTCTGTGAAGATTCCTGTACTGACGCCTGTCGGATATAATCTAACGCCCTTCGTGGTACTAGCCAGGGGAGTGGTTGTTTTCTGATTGGCGTCAGTCCATTAAACCTACTGTGTAGGTATATTGAGACTGGCTTGAACGTTTAAAGTTAATTTCTTTAGATTTGTTTACTGCCAGTCTTCAAGCATAGCCCACTGACTAATAAGAACGGTTTTCACTGAAGTTATTCTTGCATATGCTGTTGGCGATACAAGCTGGAGTTGGTTTTCAACGAATAATTTGATTTATAACCAGTCTCCAAGTATGCCCACTCACTTTTTGTGAAGTTTTCTTCCTTATACGAGGAATTGGACAAATTCGTATATGCGGTTGGTTACCTCGATCATGGGCAGATAGGGCGATGACAAACGTGTTGTTTGTTCGCTTCAGTCTAGTTCGAGGAGTGATACTCTGAAAGGAAGTCGATTTTCAATTATACGAAATCATTGACTTCAGTTTGATGATAGACACTACCTTGCACTGACGAGTGGTCAAACAGGCCGAAATCGGTCTGCAACTGTATTCCAAGAATTGAAAATTGATTTCGGCAGTTGTATCGCCAACAACTTATGCAGAAATAACTTCAGTGAAGAATCCTGCACTGACACCTGTCCTTCACGTGTCCTTCAACGTCCTTTATAGTATTAGCCAGGGGAGTAGTTTTCTGATAGGTGTCAGTCAATCAGCCTATAATGTTGATAAGTTAAGACTGGCCGAAAAAGTTAATAAACTGCACTATGTAAATGATGGTTCTTCTGCTGACAGCAATTATTATAAATTGTGGTTTCATATTTGCACCTCTCTCCTGAATTTTATTTTGTAAATCATGTATGGTGTATCTTTGTTATTATTTAAATGTGTTTTGTTTTCAGTTAAGTGCAAACATCGTGGTATTCTTGTGCGTCAATGCAGTCGGAATTTTCATCCACAATTTAATGGAACATGCACAGAGGAAAGCATTTTTGGATACACGAAATTGCATAGCTGCCAGGCTGGAGATGGAGGATGAAAATGAAAAATTGGTGAGTTAACGATTGTGTTTAATTTTTTCAAATTTTTGAACCATTCGTATTTACTTGAAAAATAATTCATCAAAGCTACTTCATAGGAAGTAGGATCAGATTCTCTCTGTGGACATGGTTTGAAAATGAAAAAGTATAGAGAATTATTGATACACTGACTCGTTAATTGATAAAAATTAATATATGTATTTATGCTAATAAAAAAATTTCACACTTATAACTTTACTAAAGACGCGTTTCGCCTCCCACTAGCTTCCTCAGCTGAACTGCTCCTGTGTAGTGAAGTTATAAGTGTGAAAATCATTTCATTATCATTGCTAGAGAAATGAATAATTGAATTTAATTGTCTTGAAAGGCTTTTTAGTAAATGCAGTGCAACTAGTGGAGAGTTACCACTAAAATAGGTCATAAACTGTGCATAGAGGGAAAAATATGGCAATATTCAGAGCTGAAATATGGAGTTTCACTATTTTTTATATATCTCAACTCCGTTCTAATATTTTTTAAATACAAACTTGAAGTTTGAAAAGCATGTCTAATCTGCACAATCAAAATGAAAGGAAATTCAAATTATACAGAATTCATGAATTACGTCTCATTTACGACATACGAAAAATGCAATCTATAATGCAAGAACAGCATGACTGGCCTTGTCCCACCAAATATATGAATTTTATAACTTCGTACTGAACAAAGGTTATTTTAGATATTTTAGTTATTTTAGAGTTCTCACTTTCTACAACCTAAAAAAATAAAAACTGTAATAGAGAATTTTATATATATGTAGAAAGGGCAAGCTTCTATTACGTTGTCAGCATAAGAAGTGGGTGCTCAGGATTCTAACATTGAGAAAGTTATCGAAGTGCTTGAAACGATGGTAGTCGGATGGCGAGAGGTCTGAGGAGTAAGGTGGGTGAGACAAAACTTCGACGCCAATTAGTTTGAATTTAGGACGGTGATTAGTGACACGTGCGGACGGGCGTTGTCATAGAGCAGAATCGGCCCTTTTTTGTTGACTAATGCCGGCTGCTGCTAACGCAATTTTCTGTTCTTTTCGTCAATTTACTCACAATAAGAATCTGGTAGCCCGGTTGCAGAAAGTAATAGTGAATCACACCAGCCGCTGACCATCATACAGTAACTATGGTCATTTTTGGTTAGTTTTTGCCTTTGGTGCCTGGGTGGCACATCGGGGTCCAATCACTGTCCTGAACGTCTTGTGTTGTCGTAGAAGATTAGACATCAAAAAGTAACAGTTTCTGTCGATCGTTCAAATCGTAGGACACCCACTTTTTGAGCTATTTGACCAATACGTTTTGAACCGTTAAAAACCACATGGGAGGTGATGTCCAGATCTTCCGCTATCCCACGCAGCGTGTGTGATTGGTCACTCTCCACCAGGGTCCTCATATCCACGTCCTGGATAACTGTAGGTCAGGTCCCATCTTGGAGGCTAAAATCTACGGAACAAAATTTCGCAAACCAACGTCACACAGTGCGTTCATTTACACTATCGTTGCCAAATGCCTTGTTGTAGTACACAAATTGATGGATGTAGCCGTTACTACGTGGTAGGAAATCATAATGGAGAATTGAAACTTTTTATTTTTTTCACCACTTTTATTTGTTACTAACGTTACTGCATTTTCGTCCTATAAAGACATTTTCAAAATTATACATTAAACTAATAGTGATTGATTACATTAGCCCTTATATAACACCAATGTAGGTAATAATAGAGGTACTTAGCTTGATTGACTACCTGAATTTTGTTTACTAGTGACAATGTGGATATGTTAATTTGAAAACCGGTGAGTAGAGTTAATTGATTTGATCGTTTAACAAGTTACACCCGCAATGTTTATGCTTGTGAATTTCCAAGGATTCCAAGTAATTGAGTTTTCAACCCTTCCTTGCATAGTGCAAAATTTCCGTTTCCGTTGTGGTTGCATGCCAAGGAATGGTTTGAAAACGTCGAATCATTTTTCCTAGTCTGAAGGACCTTTCATGTTCAGCATACCGTTTTTGGAAATTTCGACCACATTGTCCCACATAAACACTATTATACTCCGGATACTTAAGCTTATAAACTCCAGATTTCTCCAACTTGTCAATTTTACTTATGGCATTAAAAAGAAAATCAAATAACCTGGCATGTGGTCTGAATACCACTTCCACTTCGGGTTTTTGAAGAAACCCGCAATTGGAAACCCGCAATTTGGAGAAATCTGGAGGTATGCTGAACATAAAAGGTCCTTCAGACTAGGTAAAAATGTTTTCAAACCATTCGATGGCATACAACCACAAATTCCCGAATCTAAACGATACTGAAATTTTGCACCATGCAAGGAAGGGTTGCAATCTCAATTATTTGGAATCGTTGGTAAATCATAAGCATAAACATTGCGGGTGCAACCTGTTAAATGATTTAGTTTACTCACCGGTTTTCAAATTAGTCAGGTAAGCTATAGATTACGCTGTAGACGACCCCTCCCGATATAGAAGGCCCCGACACTCTGTCGAATGAGGCCCCTATGTCCTCCGTTAACAGATGAATAATATCTTCATCCATCTCACCCCAGCCAGGTAGGGGTATACCGCGAAGGGCAGTATGGATGTCTGAGGACTTTCATGCCACCATCAAACATCAGTCATGACCCGTTTGTCTTTCTGGCAAACATCAGGGGAAGGGAGCCAGGCTTCAACCTGAATAAAATCAAGATGGATAACGTCGGTTTTCAAATTAGCATACCCACATTGTCACTAGTAAATAAATTGCAGGTACTCAATCAAGCTAAGTACCTTTATTATCACCTACAGTGGTGTTATATAAGGGCTAATGTAATCAATCATTGTTAGTTTAATGTGTACGTTTGAAAATGTTCTTATAGGACCAAACTGCACCTACAGTGGTGTTATATGAGGGCTAATGTAATCAATCATTGTTAGTTTAATGTATAAGTTTGAAAATGTTCTTATAGGACCAAACTGCAGTAACGTTAGCAGATAAAAGTGATAAAAAAAACCTAGAAAGTTTCAATTCTCTTTTCTTTGTTGTACATATTCAAGAGCTAGCAAAAACGTATGTGAATTTCTGGAACTTCAACTAGCGTTTCGTAATGTTGTAATATGAACTGAATTGCAGCTTATAGTCATCCTGTATAATTTTATGTGGTTGCTAAATGTTGCTATTGAAAAGTTAAGTTTGTCAATTATTTTTAATTCAAAGTTTGAAGGTCACATATATATTTGTATACCTCAAGTTTATTAAAGTTCTACCTCACCTTTGCTATTTCACTACGATCCACAGTTTCAAGTATAATCTACAGCAGGTTATGGGCCCAGAAACACATTAGTGAAATGTCGGTAAATTGAGTTTAAGTAAGAAATAAACTTGTTCATTGGGTGACATCTTGGACCTGTTTGTCACGGAGTTGCGGATTACATAGTTTTTTTTTTCGACCACTGTAGAAGATGGAGATTCCGAAAGTGTTGATCGAGAAATTGGAAGGGCAATCCGATTGGCTTGATTGGAAATTTCAAATCAAAATCCAGCTGCACGTACACAATGCATGGGATGCTGTTTTGGGCGCAGTTGAATCTCCAGTCAAACCAGCAGAGAAAGCAGATAAGGATGTAACAGAAACATACAAATGTTTGATGCAGTCTGCAAACAGAATTGAATACACAGCCCAAAATCTCATTGTTTCTAGTCTGAGTTCACAAGTCAGGCAGTTGATAAACATGTGTAATAGTTCAAAGGAGATGTGAGATAAGCTTCTTTGAGCAAAGAACGGAACAAAGACAAGACAGACTATTCAACAAGTTCTTTGGAATCAGAGAAAAGGATCCCCTAGAAAGCATGGCAAAACTCGAAAAGTTTTGGATAGAACTTCAAGACGAAACTTGGAAAGAGTATAGAGTACTCAGTACGTTGCCTCAAGATTTTTTTGAATCACTGGGAGTCTGTCCCTAAGGAGCAAAGAACCATTCAGTTACTTCAGTTCAGTTACTAACGATACTTCCACTAAAACAGCATTAGTAGTATCGAAGAGAGTTCAAAAACGATCCCCACCAATAACATCAACCCTGCACAAGAAAGATAACGCGAAGAAGAAGTTTGCTCCGAAATGTTATCGATGTGGTCATAGAGGACATTTAAAGAAAGACTGTACCAAATATATCACAACGAATGTTACTTCAGTACAAGGTTCAGCATTCATTTCACAACCTTTTCAGTTAGATCTACATCCAAACGTTAGTTGGATTGCAGATTCAGGTGCCACTCAACATATGACCATGCACCGAAATTGGTTTTCCACTTTCGAAAACTTTCCAGTTTCCTAGTCAGTTATTATTGGTAATGGTCAGAGTATGCAGGCTCTCGGAAAAGAAAATATAAATGTTCAAATGTTCATCGATGGAAAATGGATAAGAAATTATCTTCAAGATGTGTGGTAGGTTCCTGATGTAGGGAGGAATCTGTTTTCAATACCTTCTGTAGTTGATAAAGGTATGACGTCAAAAATCAACAAACATATTTGCAACATTTCGAAAATTGGGAAGGTTGTAGCCACTGAAACTCGTAAAAACGGTTTATATGTGATGCATATTCGAGTAGTTGTTCCTGAAAATACTGCAGAAGTTCAGTTAGCCGCCAGCGATAACTTGCACATTTGGCACGAACGTCTCTGTCATCAAAATAAGAGACATGTTCAGGATTTTCTGAAAAGAAGAGGAGTCGAGGTTGAAGCTTATGCAGAATTTTGTGATGCTTGTATGTATGGTAAACATTATCGACTACCTTTTGGTCAGAGGATGAATATAAGCAGTAAACCTGGAGAACTTATCCATGCTGATGTTTGTGGACCAATGACTATGAAATCGATTGGTGGTGCACGATTTTTCGTCGTTTTCAAGGATGATTTTAGTCAATTTCGCTATGTATTTCCTCAAAGAGAAGTCTGAGGTGAAAGATGAACTGGAAGAATTTCTGTCAAAAGCAAAAATAACTGGACATTCACTACAAGAATTATTAACTGATGGTGGTAAAGAATTCGATAACACGGATACAAAGAAGATAATCACAAAGTATGGTATACATCATCGAATCACCATGACTTACACACCTGAACAGAATGGGGCTGCAGAACGAGAAAACCGAAGTCTCGTTGAAGCTGCACGAACTATGTTACATGCGAAAAATCTTCCTGAATACCTTTGGGCAGAAGCGGTTAATACTGTTGCATACGTTTTAAATAGAACTGGTCCCACATTGACAGAAGGTATGACACCTATGATGATTTGGACAGGAAAACAAGCTCCTGTGGATCATTTGAAAATTTTCGGGACAGAAAGTTTTGTTCATGTTCCGAAACAGAAACGTTCCAAATGGGAAAGGAAGAGTGAGAAAGGTTATCTGGTTGGATATATCGAAGACAAAGATGGATATCGAATATGGTTACCTGACAGAAATGATGTTGTTCGAAGTCGTGATGTTATTTTCAAAAAAGAAACAGCTGTCAAAGAAAGCACTGTCATAGTTGAAGACACTGTCGTAAGTATAAGTTCCGAAAAGCAATCAGTATCAATTGATGAGGGTACTGCTTCGGGTGAATCAGAAACAAGCATTAGTCTGCCAGTTGATCGTCCTGTTCTCCGAGATAGATCTAAATTGCAAAAACGTGAAAGATACGATGCTTTTGCTATGCTTGCTCTAGAAGAACCCAATACTGTTGACGAGGCCTTCTCATCTAATGAATCTGAGATGTGGAGAAAAGCAATGGACGAAGAAATGCAGTCGCTGGTGGAAAATGACACCTGGATACTAGTAAAGAAGCCTATTGGAAGAAGAATCATTAAAAATCGTTGGGTATTCACAGTTAAAGAAAACCCAGAAGGAGATACTTTAAAGTAAGGTTAGTTGCAAAAGGTTTTTCTCAAGAAGCTGGTATTGACTTTGATGATACTTTTGCACGAGTTGCTCGATTTGATACTATAAGAACCGTTTTATCAATGTCTGTTTCCGAAAATTTGCACTTATCACAATTTGATGTGAAGACGGCCTTTTTATACGGATTACCAGACTTAGAACTTCATATGGAGCAACCGGATAACTATCACGACGGTACTGATAATGTATGCAAGTTACTGCGTACCTAGCCTGTATGGTTTAAAACAGGCACCTCGTTGTTGGAATTTGCGCATCACCGAATTTTTGAAGAAAAAAGGATTGCAGCAAAGTTCATCAGATGCATGTTTATTCGTCAGAAAAGAACCGGATAAATTACTTGTAATTTATGTTGACGACGGATTAGTATTGGAAACTGATTTAAAAAGCAATGAGAAATTTCTCAATGAGATGAAAACTGAGAATCTTGGGATTGAAATAAATAAATCAAACGAAGGTGTGTTTCTGGGCCAAGAAATATACATTAAAACACTTTTACAAGAGTTCAATTTATGTCAATGTCATCCTGTCAAAACACCAATTGAGAAATGTCAAATTGGCGATGAGTTTCAAGATATGGATATTCTTCCAAATATTCCTTTTCGATCAGCCGTAGGCAGTCTTATGTATTTATCAGTAGGTAAAAGGCCTGATATAGCCTTTGCTGTTCACTCACTGCTCAAGCAGTGTCGAAACCGAAGTATCATCACTGGAAGATAGTGAAAAGAATATTGAAGTATCTTCGAGGGACAACTGACTATAACATTAGTTATAAAGCTGATACACGTTCTCTCCAAGCTTACAGTGATTCCAATTATGCAGGTGATTTATCTTCGCGTAAGTCAACTTCTGGATTTGTCTGCAAGTTGAATCAAGATGCACTAACATGGTTTAGTCAGAAACATCGGTCAGTTTCATTATCAACGATGGAGGCAGGCAGAGTACATTGCAGCCAGTGAAGCTGCTAAAGAAATTATCTGGTTGAATTGTTTTCTTGACGAAATTCATACATGTGTGTAGACCATCCCAATATTATGGATTGACAACGCTAGTGCTGTAAAGTTGGTTCACAATCCAGAATTTCATAAAAGATCCAAGCACATAGACGTTCGATACTATTTTATTAGAGAAAAAGTACAAGAAGGTATATTTCAAGTACGACATATAGCAGGCGAGGATCAGATAGCAGATATTCTCACCAAACCACTGAGTAGAACTCGTTTTGAGAAGCTGAGAGATCTACTGGGTGTTACTAAGAGACCACTGCACTTCAGTTCAAGGGGCAGTGTTGGAATATGAACTGAATTGCAGCTTATAGTCATCCTGTATAATTTTATGTGGTTGCTTAATGTTGCTGTTGAAAAGTTTAGTTTGTCAATTATTTTTAATTCAAAGTTTGACGTTCACATATATATTTGTATTCCTCAAGTTTATTAAAGTTCTACTTCAACTTTGCTATTCCACTACGATCCACAGTTTCAAGTATAATCTACAATACCTAATATGACTGATAACCAGTCCGTGCAAAGCTTATTGTTGAATAATCTGAAAATAGAACTTCTAACTGGTGCTAATCAACTGTATTGCCAAATATGCGCCAAACTAATTGACTATTATAAGACATCAAGTATAGCTGAGGCACCAGTCAATCTTATAATAACACTGATGATTTTCGAACATGACTCAACCTCTGACGAAAGCACCAAACTCTTACGAAAGTTCGAAATAGATGAAAACTTCAATCTAGCAGACCACTATTATAATCTTCATGCAGTCATTGTTCACTGTGGTTTTGGCATTGAATCTGGTCATTAACACGCATTGGTCAAAGAAAAAACGGACCGATTTAAGTTTGACGATAGTCGTGTCACAAAATATTCTGGCGATATCTTGAATTTATTGGAGCCTCTGGAGACACCCTACATTTTATTTTATGAAAGAGAGGACATTGGGAGATCAAGATCCGGATTTTCCTGCAGCTGAAATAGCAAATGCGTCACTGTAATCAATCAAGTCGCCCCGGAGCGCCAATTAATTTTTGTTGTTGTTGTTTCAACATTTCATAATTTGCATTACGTTATATATGAATGTACTCTATTAGTTAGCTTAAAAAAATAAACTATAACTAGCAGTATAAGAACATAGGCTAGTCTCCAAGAGTTGGAGAACTGAGAAGTTTTTGATCTGATATTATATTTACTATGAATCTGCCTTGAACCAAACTCTTGAGTGCTACAGAAGATGAAACAAATTCGCCATGGACAAGCAAACGATGAATCACCCAAAGGAAAATCGCTTGGGTGAATTTAATGTGTCCTCAGGTATAGTCAACGTACAGATGCTCTTATGTGGGTAGGTTGCTGCGTGCATCTTGGGAATTTTGCACCTTGAACATCGACCAATAGAGGGGGATCTCTTCAGTATGTCATCATGGAGCCGTAGAGAATACTCTAGAATATCGTACACAGGCATGATTTCAGAGTTGCATATTCCGGCTTCGATGGCTACAGCTGGAGGATTAGGAGAGCGTCTCCGCGCTGCAGGCATTACAGAAAGCCTACTTCTAGCCACATATAATTGAAGAAGGTAGTTGCAGATAGACCGCCGATCAGGTCTTCAGGAAAATGTATCCATAATCTTCAAAAAATATTCGAAAGGGATCATTAATCAATGTTGGAAAGCAAAGCCGCAAGTGCTCCTAAATGTTCAAAGATAACCTGGGTTATTTATTGTATGGAGGTTACAGTAGTTTTCGAATAGAATCGATTCAATATCAGCATTTTGCGGAATACGTTGACATTACAAAGCTTCATATCTTCCATACGGATAGATCGATAGTAGCAGTGAATAATCAGTTGATATCCACTTTCAATGAGAAACACTTAACACCCATTCGATTGAATAAAATTAGGGGATAACACCCCCTTTGAAGAATTGAAGGTAATGCAATGGTTTTTGAGTTGAAACTTGTCCCCTTTTCAAACAAACAAGAATTGTTTTTGGATTTTTGAGAAAGGTTTTTTCTATCAGTTATACCTTGCGGCACGTTTTCTTGGTTCACTCTGTACATAGTTCAGGTCAAATGCAGAAAACCTACGCCAGATACATTTTGCGTTCTGTGGTGACGTTTCATAGTTCATTGAATTGTCCGTGAAAATATGCAGCATTTGTGATATTTAGATAGGAATATTCAGAATATTCACTGCTCGAAATGAACTTCAATATCAGGTTCAACGAGTAATTTGCATGCATTATCTGTAATAAGATGAAACTACTCTGTGTCTCATCACCATCGTCTGGGTTTCATAATAATCTCTTGTAAAAACAAAAGGGTTAATGGATAAATGGAAAGAGTTCAGATGTAGAATAATTTCAATTGCCATAAGTTATTAATTTAGTTATTTTTTGTCATTCAAAAATAATGAATCTTAATAAATCATATACTTCATAGATAATAAATTAATTTTAGTACCGTAATAAGTCAAGGGACAAGAAAGTGAAGTTCCGAATTTTTTATCATGGGGGAAGTTGTCATATAGTTGAAGTGATAATATCTTTCTTATACCTTCATGGGCATTTCTGTCAACTGAGTTGTCTTGGAATGGTAGATGTCCCTTATGAAAACTCAATATTCAGGTTCCTTTTGTCAAAATTTTAAACAAAATTATTCACTTCACTTTCAGAACATCTTTGCAATGGTTCCAGTTCCAATTCATCTTTCACATATTACTCTATCATCATTCTCCTGTGATGTCTATATTCATTTCATAAATTTGCCTGAAATTAAATCATTTCTACATTTTCTCGTTAATGTCAATCTTTATTTTTTTTAGGAACGACTCCTTTTATCCGTGTTACCGCAACACGTTGCTATGGAGATGAAAAACGATATTATTTCTCCAGTCGAAGGTCAATTCCATAAAATTTACATCCAGAAACATGAGAACGTGAGGTGAGTTTAGTTTTTTTATCTATTGTTGTGTATACTAGTAAGCCTCGACAATTTTACTTCGGATCATCGATACTTCTGGATCAAAAATCGACAACTTCAAATCAATCTCTGAGTCGAAGGACGGATATGAGTTTGAATAATTTCAAAAACCATTCATTATTTTTAAGTTCGATTAAGTATTACAATTTTCGACGATTTTTGTGGCTTTTTGGAAAAGTAGAGTCATTCATTACTATCACCACTATTAGTACTATCACATTGAGTCTTTCACAAAAGCCAAACAATTAAAATTAAAACTTTTCTTTACCTACTCTATTATAATAGTACCGTGTATGAAACTACTCATTATTGCATTTACTCATTTTGTCTCTAAGTAGCTCAACCCTATAACTTTTTCATTATTGAAGATAGAAAAACGAAATTTGGGGGGTTGTGTATTATAGGTCAACTTTTTGACATATATACTTGTTTTTGCCATACTTCCGGTTTGACCGGAAATGACCTCAACTTTCGATTTTTAAATAGGACATCCTATATATTTTTACTTATTTCGATGGAAAATGACATTCCTAATCCAACAATACTTAACTTGTCAATGTTTGACAAATAAAATTATTTACAAGAAACGATCATACCTAATAACAAATAATACGTATACGGTATACTTATGCACTAAGTCCTATTATTCTAGGTATCCGTGACAAAGAATCATCAGTGAAGGAAAAGAAGTAGATGTGTTGGTTGAAGTGAATTGTACGGCGTCAATTCGCTAAATTGTTTCTGAGTGTGATATAAGTTATTCGTTCATTTGGAGAATTCTTCACAACATAATTATTGATCATTCAAGTACCAACTACACCAACATCTTTACGATACCGATCACAACCGAAGATTGACTTATTGCAACTGGTTTTTGACTAAATACAGATAAGATGTACATTTTCCATTTAAAATTATTTATTCAGATGAAAGCCGATTCACCAATTTGGATATGTTCAATAGGAATAATAAACAAATTTACTTGTGATGCAAGAAGGAAATTTTCAAGAGCGATTTGGTTTCAATTGCTGGACGGGTATTATCGGAGGAAAACTTTTCGGGCCAATAATTTTCGGCGGTCGTTTTTCCACTGAGAAGACGATCGTTTTGATTCCGAAGTGAAGTGATAGATTCATGTTTCATCCATTGTCACATATCGACGAACAAATTCCGGTTTGTTATGTTTAAATATGGCCAAACACTGCTCAGAATCATGAAAACATTCTAGTTTCAGGTCAATAGTGAGCTTTCTCATTAGGCAAATGCTCATGCAATATAAAGCCAACTCGTTCTTTTGATATCTTTACAAGTAAGTAACTCACGCAACTTCACTTTTCGATAATTCAAAACAAATTTGTGGATTTTTTAATTTTTTCTGGTGTTACTGCCTCATTTGGACGTTCACTGCGGTCTTCATTATTGGTGTCTCTTACGACCACGTTTGAAGTCAGCAAACCAATGTTTAATTGTTGTTTCTGATGGTATCTTTCTTCCCTTTTTTTCATGGTGAACTGAATGTGAGAATGAACGGAGTTATTGTGTCGTAGAAACTGTTCTAATGCTTGGAAATGTTTCAACATTATAATGAATTATAAAGTTGGAACAGTTTCTACGACACAACGAATTCATTCATTCTTGCAACCAGGAAAACGAAGAATAGATATCATTTTTGGAGGTACGGCTCAATAGAAAAACTGTCTGCGAACTAGGTTCTTCTCAAACCTACTCATACTGATCGGTATCTCAACAAGAGCTCTACGTACCATCCAGGGAAAAAACGTGCTGTGATGAAAATCCTTGTGAGCAACATCTTCGTGGGGGAGAACTTCGTCACTTATGAATTTCACTCAATGCAAGATAGTGGCCATCATCGACCTAAAGTCAAAGATATTCCATAATTGAAAATCGGAATTCTTTCAGAGTATTTCATTCCTCTTCCTAAGTTGGAACAAACAACAAAATGTCACTCCATCTAGTGGACGAGTTACTAACCAACTGCATATCCGAAATTTTCTCGATCCCTCTGATGAGTGGCTAATGAGCCCGAAACCGGTCTGCAAGTGTGCCCGTTCCAAAATTGAAGGTCGACTCTTTCAGTTGTATTGCCAATTGCATAAGCAGAAAATTTTCTGTGAAGATTACTGCACTGACGCCTGTCGGATATAATCCAACGCCCTTCGTGATATTAGCCAGAGGAGTAGTTGTTTTCTGATAGGCGTCAGTCCATTCAACCTACTGTGTAGGTATATTCGAGACTGGCTTGAACATTCAAGTTTCATTTCTTTAGATTTAAATATGTCTGAATATTGAGGTAACTTTACAAACAAAGCAAAAAATCAATGAAAAATATTTCAATACTTCCATAATATTCAAAATAGAATTCATCAGGTGAGAGGTTTGCCCTTGAACTCCAGTATACGACACGATGACATTATTATATAATGAACAAACTTGTGATTAATTGATATCTGAAACACATCCTCAGGGATATTATGACAAGTTTGGTGCTCTAATTGTATTATATTTTTCGTGTAATCTTTCGCATCTATCTATGAACAGAGTAGACAACCAAACCCAAGCCCGAAACTGAATTATGACAAAAAACAAGAAAATCATAAACAATCTGTTTAAAAAATATATGTTTTCAACCATCTGTCACACCCCTATAAACGACAACCCTCAGAAGTCGAAGCTTGTGCGAGCTAAGTATTAACGAGATCTTACCTTTCAACGTGTGATTCCTAACACCATTATGGTGTGAAGTATATTTTTTGAAGGTTCAATTTTTCTGAATTGTAAACCTGACACTTATACATATATGAAAATTGCTTCAACATTCATTTTTTTTTACAAAAAACTTTTCGACAAAGTCTTTATAAACGAATTCTGAAACATCAAAACTTTTTAATCAAGTACCTGTCATTGTAATTGAAAAATGTGACAAACTTATCCAGAAGTTAATCTCTTTTTGTTTTAAATTTACTTTTCTAACGCTACTAGATTCTAGTTCCACTAAATGAAAAATAGCATATATCTGATTGAATCCAACCTAAATCGCCACTTTCGTATAAGCACCGCTCTCGGAGCATCTCAAAAATTTTCCTGCGGTGCAGTGCTACTGCGACACACATCATCAGTGTATATGCATTGACTGCGGATATATCACGTATCAGTAACGACTATCAGGCGAGCTCTGTGTTCATTCGTATTTATGATTTTAGCGGGAATTGGGAGGTGATGGTGGGGGTTGTGACTTATAAGTGGTCAATAACCTCTCTATGAATTCCTGGGTGGTAATGCGTTAAATTAGACACAAAAAAAATTTTTTTGAATTTTATTACGTGGTCAGTTTCTGTTACGACACGTTCTGCAATTACAAATTTTTCCCGTTGCATGAGGCGGTAGTTACGAGTGTGTTCTTTGTGTCCTGGTGTTGATGATGCTTTCGGTGGTTCCGATGTGAACCAAGCCACAGGAAAAAGGAATCATGTAAACACCTGCAGGTATCAGAGGCTCTTTTTTGTCCATCTGCTAGTATGACGTAGTTGATTAGTTGGCTTGTAAATGGCCGCAATGTTGTGACGTTTGAACAGTTTTCCAATACGGTATGTGACTTTGTTTGGCAAGTATACTGTGCCTACCACTGGCGGTTGGCCAGTGGTCGAAATTGGAGTATTTCTTCATTTGGGATGTAAAATCACTCAATATTTCTTGCGCTGTAAATTCATTGGCCTGTGGAGCTTGGTATAAGTGACGAATGTTTGAAGGTGATTGACAATGTTTCATGATGAATTTCACTAGTTCGGACTTCCATTGTCTACTATATAAAATGATTTGAAATCCCTGAAACAACTAAAAAAGATGAGTTAAAAATGAATAGCTGAAAATAACAATTATATTGAGCAAAATGAACCTGAAATGAAATAATAGTGAAATAAAATACAAGTAAAATAGAACAATTGAACAAAAATGAATTAAACAGGGGAGTAGTTGTTTTCTGATAGACGTCAGTCCATTCAACCTACTATGTAGGTATATTCGAGACTGGCTTGAACGTTTAAAGTTCATTTCTTTAGATTTGTTTACGTCCAGTCTTCAAGCATAGCCCACTGACTAATAAGATAGACAGATTTATTCCATCGACACTACCAAATTTGTTTCTATAAAGAATCGCGAAATTCAGTCGAATTCAGTATATTCAAACCTGAAGTACCAAACATTTCATCTGCTACTGCGATACACATCATCCGTTGTATGTGCGTTTGCTGCGATAACGAAAGTTGTGTCTCGAAGTCTCAGCAACGACTGAATGTCGAGCTACGTGTCCACTCGCATTTATAATTTCAGAGGCTGCGAGGCCGACGGTGGGGACGGTAGTAGGGGCGATGGCGGGGTGTCCATGCTTACTCTTTTTTGGTCCGCACTTTTGTTGGATTGTTCTGATTGATTCATTTCTTCATGACACCGTCGTGAAAGTCTATGGTCTTATAGAATAAATTCATATCATTATTTATATTTCTAGAATATATATTTCTAGAATACGTGTTTCATGTATGGTTCAGAGCTATCATTCTCCAGTATGTTTCTTCAATGATTTTTTTCTCAGAAAGCTCTATTCGTTTCTTATCAATTCTTTTAGGTATGGGAAAAGTTCCAATGTTTAATTCATATTCATTGAAAAAAAATTCAATAAATGTTGTGAATTTCTCAATAAAATCAGGTTACTCAAACAATTTCCTGGATAAAAGTACTCGTGTAAAAAATTTTATCGGAGCATTGATTTTGAATGAAAATAGAAATGATAGGTAAAGTGTTTGTAACGAATTTTTATAATGCAAACACGTTACTTATCAAAACTCATGATGTAAATAACAACTGCAAGCCTCAAGATCAAACAGAAATTGAAAATCCGCTACAAAAACTGCTCAATATGACCCCCTTCTCTCTCAATACATTATCAT